GGTGACAGACTTACCTTCATAACTGGAAGAAGGTCCTCGACTCTGTGCACCTTCTCCAGAGCCTCTCTAACTTCCAACAAGCCTTTAGGGTTATTAGCTCTTGAGAGAGAGACACAGGAGAGAGATGCCAACTGAGATTGATGCTGAAATGTGATCATTAATTATGCTACTATCTTCAATTTAAATAAACTGTCCTTAATTATGAGTGGCTCAGTATTTGACATGTGGGTGACAGCTAGTTTCTAAGCAATGGGATGGTTTGATCCTAATGAGTCTGGGGCTGCAGAGGAGAATTCAGGAAGAGGCCGCCCATCTAGAAGGCGCCGCGGCGAGAAGTGGAGTGGACCTACAGCCGGCGTTTGCGTACACTTGTATGAGTTTGGTCACAAAACCTGGATTCCCCTGTTCCAGCTCTGAAATTAGAAGTACCGTCGTCCCCTGGTTTCCGAGCGGGATTGGTACCAGGACCCCCGAGTATACCAAAACCCATGGATACTCAAGTCCCGCAGTGGGCCCTGCAGAACCCACGTGTATGAAGAGCTGGCTCTCCCGATACGCGGGTTCCGATCCCGCAANTTCAAAATTTCCTCCCATCCCCCCATCTTCCGCTCACTGCCTTTCAAGACTGAAATGAACTTTAAAGCTGAAACCCCTAGCAGATAAATCCAAAGAAACATCATGCTTTTCAGAAGAAAGAGGTTAGAAAAGTCACAGTATTGTGTGCAAGGTTAACAAGACTTGAGCTGGGGCCCGTGGGTTTGGTGAGGCTATCAAAGAGAAGGCCGGAGTGAGTCACTGTGAGACTTTCTGATCCTAAACACCACGTAAAATTTGATACCGTTTTAGTCTGTCAACGGGCTCAGTGTTCAAGTTTCATAAATATAACAAGTGTAAAAATGTGTGAAATTAAGCCATTACTGTGAAAGAGAAAACTGAAGGCTTACCCATGATAAACAAGGATTCTGTCTTTAATAAAATGAAGTATTTTCTCAAAATATTCCAGATATCTCATGTTAATCACCTGACCCCTAAAAGGCAAAAACAGTAATAAAATTAAGAATTTTTGTACAAAGGAATATGCTCAAAACAACATGTAATTTCATAGTTAATTTTTAAAAAAACAACAATAGAGCTATGAGAATAACGTAGCAAAAAAAAGTCTGGGAAATCTGCTTGTTCACAATGAACGGGAGAAGCCACGTCCCGCCTCTGCAAGATCGCCGGCCGGCTCCGGGGCTCATCCTGGTGGGAAAGGCGCAAACCCAGCTCCAGCTACACCGCCATGGGAAGAGAAATCCCCACGCACTGAACCGAGGCTCCGGCTTTGGGTCCAACACCCTCTGCGGGATCCGCCACCTTTTAGGCAGCTGCATCCTGTCCCTCGGTCCTCCCGGCAGCACGGCCTGCTGACGCCTCCTGCCTGTCACCCACGAGCAAGGCTTCCTTCCTCTTCCTGCTCTCAATATGACTTTCCCCACAGTTCCATCCCCTTGTTCTTTTTCTATGCTCGGTCCCAGAACTGCACATTCAGCCAACATGCCATGTCACAGGACACGTCCAGCTGCTCCCGGGGCATCACTCCCTGGGTCCCCACAGGCATCCCAAACCTCCAGGTCATATCTGTCAAACAGGAATTCTCTCCCCACACGGCCCACCCCCACCCCCCCAACACATCCGCCTGCTTTTTGTCCTGGCGCTACCCGGCTAATGGGACAGCTTTCCTCTAACCGCACGCTCTCCCATGCCTGAACCTCTGCAGGCTCCAGCTCCACCTTCTAAACACCTCCTGTTCCTCTCCAGTGCATAGCACATGGCCTCCGAGACCGTGGCACGGTTCACCTGCGCAACTACACACCCTTCTAACCTCTTCCCCGCCTCCACGGTGACTGCCCCTCACACATCTATCCTG